ATCACCTTAGTGGACTCGAAACGTGACGTGCGTCGATGATAGATGCTGACTAGATGTCAAATCTATCACCAAGGCTGACTATGAATTATTTCAAAAAATGCAACAAAATCAAATGTTTATGTAAAAATAATGTGATGGGCCCAAAATACTTATTTCATGTTTAATCAATATGAGTTATAATGTTCAACATGTCATGTGACTCTCATTCTGAAATCATTAGGCTCTTCCAGCTAAAAAGAATCAATTTTCACCTGTATAGAAATTACGGAAAAATATATGATTTGATAGCTCAGTGAGTAGATAAGTTCGAAAATAATTATACTTTTTCATTTTTATATTTTTATCGAAATTCGAGTTCACATCATTTGATAATTAACAAGATAACATCATGTAATTATAGCCAAAACGCGAGACATTTACACAAGGTCATAAAATATAATCTTAAAATCATGATATAAACATCAGCTGGTAACCATGCTATAATCTCATCACATACGTGCTGAAAAATTCACCAAAAATGTACCATTTGACTGAAATATATAATCCGCCCCTCGAGCTAAGAACTTTCGCCACGAGCTTTTGGCCCCTCGATGAATGAAAGTCGGTCTCAAAGACCTCTAATAATTAATTCTAGAATACGGCCAAGGTCCCTCTATGAACTATATATACACGATCAAGACCAATGTCAGGTCAAGACCCTCCGTGTAGGATAGAACACGACCAAGGCCCCTCTGTGAACTAGAAAAAATATATAATCATGGGTGTTTTTCTGGCCGATCTCAATATCACGTTTCACATACCAAACAAATCTCAATATCACATGTCTCATCTATAAAGTCACAAATGTACAATAAATAATCCTTGAAATTCCGCATGGATCATAATAAAAGAAACTTCTATAATAATCATAAAATCAAACACATAATTGCACATATACTTAATTTATAAACAATTTAAAAATATTTAAGTTTTTCCACTCACAGTACAATGTTCCTAAAATCAACCCCATTGGTAAGCTGTTCTGATGTCAATGTCGTCGCCTGAAATACGATATAATTTTTAAATAAACAATTAATTATTTTAAATAATTAAATAGGCGACACCCAAACTTAATCATTTCACATTTAGGCAATTTCTACGATCTCTTTAATAACTAAAACTAGTTTTTCTTTCATCTTACTCAATTTCATAGTTTATTATACTTAACACCTTCAATAAAATTGAATTTAATCTAACAATCTAATAGCTATAAAATCAAACATAACTTGACAATAATTAACTTTTTACTTACCTTTCAAAATTGAGAAATTCAATCCTAATAATGTAGACCACTTAATTCCTAACACATTGGCAAAAAAAAATTTTTTTTTTTTCTTCTTCTTCCCTTTTTTTTCCCTTTCTTTTTTCTCTCTTTTTCTTTCTCTGCATCGGTTTCTTTTGTGTGTGTAGGTAATGAGATGGATTTACATGAATTTGGAATGATATACCCTAGCTAAAGCCACCGCCTCATGTTATTTTATTGTTTATTGTTTTTGTTTTTTGTTTTGTTTTGTTTTCATAGCTTGACATCTTTGACCTATATATATATATATATATATATATATATATATATATATTTACTTGTTTTAATTACTTATTAAGGCATTGCATGAAGAGTGCTAAAAAAATGTACTATAAATGTTTCTGCAAAGTCCTTGTTTCGATACACCAAAATATGGAACGAAAATGAGTAGTAAAATATAAGAGGATAAGTTATGAAATGTTGAAATGAAGAAGCTGTAAAGGGATGTGTGATAAATAAAGGAATTGAGGAAATCTTTCATATTAGTTGGGTAAGGGGGAATACCATAACAAGCGGATGTGTTGAAGTTTCTTAAAGGTGGTTAAATTATGAGTGGATGAGAGAGAATCTCAAGATTAGAAACGTGTGAGTATACTAACAAATTTGTATTCCAATATCTCTCTCTCTCTCTCTCTCTATATATATATATATATTTTTTTTTTAATTATTTATAAAAATCAATTAATAACTTACCAATAAACTTACTTTACACGTGTCACCCTTAAATTCTAAATTCCTTAATTAACCTAGATATAATTTTTTCAGCCTCATCATCGAAAGCGGCTTTCAATTCTCGGAAATTCTAAACTATATGGGGGGCTTGGATCCAATTTAGCACCATATCTTTCGACCTCGATAACTTGGGATTCGCTTAATCAAATTAACTTCTTCTCAAGCCTAATATGCATTATTAATTATGATTTGTCCAACGAGCCCAATATTTGTATACTTCTATTACTCGGTCAATATCTAAATATTTGACCCAAATAAAATTGAAATTTGCTATGTATCACTTTACTCCCTAATTTTTCAAAATATTAAAAAATATAACATATAAAAATTTAAATTCTATTAAACGAAAATTTGGGACTTTACAGATTTCAATCTATTTCCCTCGTATCCCTAAGCTCACTCGTTTAAAATTTTTTATATTGATATACTACTTTAAAGGTTCAACCTTGAATATTGCATTGCTAAAAAAAGCAGTCATAGTACCACATTCAATAATTTCAAGAAGCCTACCAGTATCTAAGAATAAGTCATATAGATGGAACATGAAAAAGGGAAAAAATGTACACAGCAATTGTTCACAGCAATGGAGCTCACTTGCAATATGAATCCAGATTGTTTACGATCTGAAATTACAAAAGAATGAGGACAGAGAAAGACTGAATCTTTTAAATAAACAGAGAAGTGTTATATAATTGAATGAACATAAAATGTTCTGTTGTGCTCTCTCCCCTCTTACAGCCTCCAGTTAGATGAGGACCGGTTACTAAATCATATTCCATATGTAAAACAATGTGTTTCTTTGCATTTAATTGAAGTAAATGTTCAACATTTGAATTCCCTTTTGTTTTGACAAGAGAATAACCATATTTAACCATCATCAGGCAAAGTAACTGAAAAAGAAATGAAAATTCTCATAGCACCTATATACCCATAAAGAAAATTCTCTTAGTATGGAGTGGATAAAGTAGAAATTCTCATCATGATAAAGTGGGATACTTATCATGCAATATTTTTTAAGTATTTGAGGAAGTTTCACATGCTAAATTTGCCATTTCAATTTGTTTCTCAGTTAAAGTAAAAGTGCAGAATCCTTCCCAGTTCTTTTTCTCAGGACATAAAAGAGAATAACCTAATTCTCGCTTCACTGTTAAAGTAGCATTCTAATCAAAATGTAACGATTACTAGAAAAGAATCTACATTCTTTTCTGTTGAGAACTTCAGTAAAAGCATAGAAGGAATAAGGATATGAATGGAAGGCATCCTCGCACAATATTAAATGTTGAAGCGCTTAAATCCGCTATTTAATTAATATCAACTGCGCTATGACGAGGGAAGGAAAATAATGGGAATGAAAAATTTTAAAGATATGTCAAATTCGAATTCACAAAGTTGGTAATCAAAGAGAAATAGAAAACTTTTATTCTCCAATCAATTATCAAATCAAAATGATTAAATATTCAAGTCTCCCTTTCTTCTCATCATACAATTTATTTATAGGCTAACATATGCATCTAAATACATGAATAGATAAATAAATATTGAAAACTAAAAACTAGAAGCTCTTCAACTCCCAAATGTAATCTCCCAGTCCCAAGGCATCACTTTGAACCTTCGTAACTTCCAATAAATCAGGAATTTGACATTGAATAATGTCTTGTTGGAATGATAAATAAATCTAGTTTCCAATACCACCAACCATAAATGAATACGAATTTTTTAATGAAAGTTATGATGAAAACCTTTAAAACTGCTCAGTTTCAGGAATATCCAGCACTACATCATCCTCCCCAGGTGGGAAAGAACTTGTCGCTGAATTCAGATTATTCTCTCCATGGTAAGGGGTTAGATCATGAACACTGAGTGTGTCAGAGACCAAGAATAAAGGAATAAAGGTCAATCATAATAATGATAATTTCAGAATCAATGTTATTTCCTTCCAATAAACCAAGCATGAATTATGCATATGTAATTTCATTTTTCTAAGAATAGTCTATTACCTATTTCAGCAAAGGCTATTCATCTATTTAATAGCTTGAGGCCATGAATAAAAGGATCCATGATTATTGTCTCCAACCTTGAGTTGATTAGGAGTTGTGGTTTTTCTTGAATTAAACCAGCCTAAAGAGGTCCAAGGGTCTCTCAAAATTTCCTACAAATTATCATCATAGGTAGAAAACACAAGAATGATCCTTGTTCTCTACCCGTTAATAACCCAACTACTAGGTCACAATCTAAGGCATGTGACAACTTGGCGCTGTCTGTGAAGGTGTCTGTTGAAGACATGTTCGACAACCGCCTTGAACACATGGAAAGTGAGCTTGGTTCTTTGGCAGCCGGCCAAATGAACCTTCAACGATCGATGCAAGCTACCGAAGAATGCTTTTGAAGCATATGGAGAGTATGTTTGCTCGTTTCTCTATTCACGATGGAAGCTATGATGAAGATGCCAACTCTTCTCATCCTCCACCTCATCGCGATTCAATGGGAGGAGGCCCTCCCGCTCCAAAAATCACAAAACTGGACTTACTATAATGGCTTGGAGGAACCTACTCGATGGGTTTGCCAGGTGGAGCAATTTTTTGAGTTCCAATGCACCAAAGAGATGAATAAACCTCCAATGGCCAGATATCACTTAGATGGTGATGTTCAATTGTGGTATCTACAATTCAAACAGAGGCATGAAGGTGCCAATTGGGATGCTTACAAATCTAAGTTGGATCTTCGTTATGGCCCATCAAGATTCCAAAACTTTTTTGGGGATCTTACCAAGCTTAAGCACATCAGAAGTGTCCGTGAGTATCAAATGAAGTTTGACCGATTGTTCCATCGAGCAAGCCATTTATCCGAGGATCAACAAGTCATTGTTTCGTAACGGGTTAAAAGAGTTCATATGCATGAATGTCTAAGCATGTAACCTGTCTTCCTTGTCTGTCGCTATTGATCTTGCACGACTCTATGAATCTCGTATGTACGAACAAAGAAGGAACAGCTATGTGGAGCTTCGAAAGAGCCCATCCTCTACCGGACCACCACCCTTACCCTCGACTTCCCTTACACGGACATGCTTTCCTACAATCAAAAGATTAAGCCCAAAAGAGCTAAAAGATAGGAGGACACGTGGTGTGCTTCAATTGTGACGAAAAATTTTCTCTAGGGCATCGTTGGAAGAAGCTATTTTTGATAGAAGTTTTTTGGGGATCTTACCAAGCTTAAGCACATCAGAAGTGTCCGTGAGTATCAAATGAAGTTTGACCGATTGTTCCATCGAGCAGGCCATTTATCCGAGGATCAACAAGTCAATGTTTCGTAACGGGTTAAAAGAGTTCATATGCATGAATGTCTAAGCATGTAACCTGTCTTCCTTGTTTGTCGCTATTGATCTTGCACGACTCTATGAATCTCGTATGTACGAACAAAGAAGGAACAGCTATGTGGAGCTTCGAAAGAGCCCATCCTCTACCGGACCACCACCCTTACCCTCGACTTCCCTTACACGAACATGCTTTCCTACAATCAAAAGATTAAGCCCAAAAGAGCTAAAAGATAGGAGGACACGTGGTGTGCTTCAATTGTGACGAAAAATTTTCTCTAGGGCATCGTTGGAAGAAGCTATTTTTGATAGAAGCGATCTTTCCTTCCCTTGATGAGCCTTTGGAAGAGACAAGCTTGGAGGATGAAGCAGAGGAAGGTGGTCCCGAAATTAGTTTTCATGCTATTTTTGGAAATGCAGCCCCACAAACCATGCGGTTTCTTGGCAAACTTGGAGATTCGATGGTCACAGTTTTGGTAGATTCAGGAAGCACTCATAAGTTCCTAAATCCAAACATAGCTACTAAACAGGGAATTTCTCCAACAAAGGCAGGGGAATTTTCTGTGCAAGTGGCTGATGGCAGTAAAATGAAGAGTGAGGGATTGTGTGAAAATCTTCCCATTTCTATTCAAATGGTACAATTCCACGTGGATTTTTTCCTCCTACCTATGGAAGGATGTGATGCTGTTTTTGGCACAGAATGGCTGAAACAAATGGGGCCAATTATATGGGAATTCAATGAGCTTTAGATGAGATTCTGTTGGAAGGAAAAATCAGTTGAATTATGTAGAACAAAATGGCCTAGTAATAAAGTCGTAATGGATCGTGATTTGGGAACACAATTATGGAAAGGAAAACGAGTGTTCTTGTTACAACTTCATTCCTTAAACTTGGGAGAAAAGAAAAGAGCTATTGCTAATCAAATGCACCAAGATTTGATGGCCCTTTTAGATCAATACTCAACCATCTTTAATGAGATCCAAGGCTTGCCACCTCAACACTCTCAAGATCATAAGATTCCACTGTTACAAGGCACCAATCCAATTTCAATAAAGCCATATCGTTACCATTATTATCAAAAGAATGAAATTGAAAAAATGGTGAAAGGACTATTATCCTCTGGTGTGGTAAGGCCCAGCACGAGTCCTTACTCATCTCCTATCTTATTGGTCAAGAAGCACGATGGCTCATGGCGATTATGTGTAGATTATTGGGCCCTCAATATAATCACTATTAAGGACAAGTACCCTATACCCGTCATTGACGAGCTATTGGATGAATAACATGGACGCGCTTTTTTACAATGCTAGACTTGCGATCGGGATACCATCAAATA